CCCGGCCTGCCAGGGGCTTTCCCTGAACAAGCAGGGGACCGGCTTTGAGAACCACTGGTCTAATACACATTACAGTTTGTTATTTTACTGATCTGAAGCTGCATGAAATTGTGCTGTAGTGATCTATGAGTCTATGAGCTCTGAAATCACCACAGCACTGCCTGGGACCTCATTTTGACTCCATTTCTGTGCATCCTCTTTAGCCAAGAGGCAAAGAAAGTTTGCACAAGTCAGTAAGGCCTGCAATAAATCAGCCAACTCTCCCTTCCCTGAAAACCCAAATAAAACCCTCTCCATCCTTGTAATGAATTAGTTGGATGCTGGATATTCAGAAAGGAAGGTCATCTCTTCACTTGAAGACTAAGCCCTAAACCACCCTCCCATCTAAAGAGTGACACAGCAGCTGGGGAGTTCGAGTGTCATCTGGAAGAGGCAGATGAAAGGGTTCAAACTCCCAGGTTAGGGAAGACTGCCCCCACCTACCCACCAGCCTGCATCCTCTCTTAAGTAATTCTTCAGTGTTTGGAGGTGCCTGTGGAAAACACACCATATTATACCTTTGTCCGGTTGTGATTCCCACACACTTCCTTCTTCTCTAGACTTGTGCCCGTAGCAGCAGCCTTTGGAGCTATTTCATACGCTCGGGCACCTTTTCCTTTGTTGCAACTTCTCAGACAGGCTCCCACTCTCCCTGCAACACTGTGACTCTCTTTTACATCCATTGCCAATGTTATTGCCTCTTTCTGTGTTGACCAATGGATCAGGTGGAAGAGAGTTTCACCCTATGAAAGGCAGCATAGTCCAAGACAGGCAGCATGCTCCAGAGGAACAAGCATGGGACTGGGAATCAGGGATTCCCAAAAATCTAATCCTGACTCTGACTCAGTGGGCCAGATTCAGAAATGATGAAAATTATACTCCAAAGGAGGAAGAAGAGAGGATGTGAAGCAGGAGAAAGGATCAACCAACAGGTGTGAGACAAAGATGTCCTCCAGACTCTGTGTTAGAGATACACCTAACCAACAACCTCCTGATCAGAGGTGACGCCTTAACAAAGCCTCTGGAGGCATTTCTGGAAAATAATTCATTCTATGCCGTCGCCTCGGTAGTCAGCGTTGGCTGTTGCACAGATGGTTCTTCACATCCCTGACTCTGACATATCTCCACTCCATTATCACAGGGGCCACATCCTGCATCTAAGGCCCCCACTCACTGCCACATGGATTATCATGCTTTGAGTGTCCCTCTGCCATGTGTGATGGTGAGCAGGTTTCCACAACACTTACAGCCCATCTAGAGGTGGGAGGGGTTTGCAGCTGGTCAGGGAGGCTTGTTATTAGGATGATGCAAAAGGGTTTTAGTAACTGGAATAGATGGGTTGGGGGGGCTGTCATTACTGGGGGTGGGTCACAACAAGGGTGATAGGGAGCTTTTCAGCAACTGGGAGTGGACTGGGCTTCCAAGGTGGGTGGGCCGCAGCAGGTCATTGAGGGAGGAGCACCTCAGCGCATGACAGGAGGGGACCCCCAAAAAGGCAGGGCTCCATGCTGCCAGTCACTTGGTGCAGGTCCAGGTTTGGCCCTCCTGGCCACTGCACTGTTCCCTATGGGACCTCAGCATCCTCCTCTTCTGGAATGTATTTCCCATCCTGGGGCCTAGGAGGAGCACTTGTGATGACTGTGAAGGCACAAAAGGGACAGAAACATGACAAAAGCAGCCTAATGGCCTAAAATCAGCAACCAAATGGTCTTCTCCACCCCACATTACTTAGAAATGTTGGAAAAGCAAAGGCAGCATCCAGAAGCCGACCCACCTGGGCTTTCTTAGCTATGTAAAGGGCATGCTATAGAACTAACTAGGGCTTTGGCAATACCAGAAGGGTCATTTTCACAAAGATCAGCTATTTCTGAACTATTTCTCCAGTGGCACACAGGCCTTAACCTGCCCCGCTTTACGTGCTCCTTGCACATTGGCAGAGGCCGTCCCTGTGTGGCACACCTCTATGCCAGGCATGTACTGCACGTTAATGTTTGCAGTTCCCTGAGAGAGAGAATTATTTTCAAAAAAGTTCCCCCTTCACCCCACATCCCAATGCTCGTATGTACATCATACACAGTCAGAGACAATATATGTTCATGAATTTCTGCAGTGACATATCAACCAATGGGCCAAACCATAGGGCAACAGTCAATGAGGCACAACATGCAGTGTTCAGAAAAGAGAAAGAAATAGGATTACACAGATGAAGTTTCATAAAACGCTTCTATTTTCCTTTTGATAGGATACAGTTGTGTATTTTGCTAGACTGAGTGGTGCACTCACAGGAAACTAAAATGATGGGCTCTTTCATTCCCTGGATCTCATCCTGCAAGACGCTGAAATGTCTGTTGACTCCAATTTATTTGAGTGGGAGAGGCACTCAGTACCTTACAGTATCCAATTCTAAATCCCTGCTGGTGCGGGGTCTGCATCAAGTTGATTGAAAGCATCTTTGCCAAGGACATCTCAGAGGGTTTCAGGAACAAACAGGTTTTCCAATTCAATTTCACAGCTTCATTTTTCTGATGCACCCCTTGCATAAGCTAAGATACAGGAAGCCTGTTCTAGTGCAAGGCTGTGACCCATCTTTCCATTTGTTCTCACACATTCATTTCAAACCTCTATACTGACCCTGGATGGGTCATGGTTAATATTCTTACCATATTTGTCTCCATCTTCCCCCTTAGCACTGATTCTCCTGCCTAGAACTTGGATATGTTTCCCACTCGTCCTGCTGTACAGCTGGTAGAGTCTAAGCTGCTTCCTGCTCACATCGTCCCTTGCTCGTGTCTGATTCTCCACGTGTATCCGAAAATCCACATTCTCCTCGGCAAGGAACATCTGATGAAAAGAGAGAGACAATAGACCATGAAACAGATACAGCATCTTGCTTACGAAAACAACAAACCAAGCCTGCCAAAGAGCGCATCACACAGTAATAGTCTACTGTGGCTTGACTTCACTGGTGGTCATGTGGATAAAGGCTGCAGGTTCAAGTGCTCCAAGTAAAGTTCTACCTAGGTGCTGACAAAGAAACTGGGTTTCATTCTTCTCATGTATCATTCTCAGTAATAAAAGCTCCTGCAGGCTCAATTCTGTCCTGATTTAAACCTGCACAATGCCACGGTCTTCAAATGATGCGCTCACTGACACCTGGGTAGGCTCCACCACTGCCAAAAGGCTTACACAAGTCTGAGTGATTGGGTCTGTAATTGGAACACAGTAAACAATTCTGATAATGCAGAAGGAAGAATCCCAGCTCCAGCTCCAATAGCTGTGCTGGTTCTGCCAACTTCATTAAAAAAGGAAGAAAAACCCTATTTTTGTCACTACAGTCAATAGATCTGACTCTAAATACACACACAGAGAAAAATCTGTTGAGTTAGAAAAATCTGCTTTTCTGAGTAGCAGAGTCAGTTGATTGCATAAGGTCTATTCCGATGCATCTGCCTGAGCTGGCTATCTGAGAACAAGGCCACATGGACCAGAGGGCAAGAGCAGGCTTTCCAGAATGAGTGATTATCAGCAGGGTTCCTCTGCTTCGCCATTTCCCACTATTTTTATGGCCTTTGGCTCTTTGAGCAGAATTAACTTTAGTTAACTGAAGCTTTAAAGAACTAACAACTCCCTTTGGGAGCAGACACCTTTCTGGAGATCTAGCATCCAGCTTTAGCTTACATTTTCCCATATTTGCCAAAGCACAGACCAATTTCTGCCTCCAGTTAGAGACATCCCAACTCAGTATAAATCAGACGACTAGTCAACCAAGAACTTTCTTTAGTAGGCCTTTCTGAATGGGTTTCAGAGTGGAAGTATCATCAAGGCCCCTTTAACACTTCAGCCCCAGACATTAATTACCTGTATTAATTCAAGTTTCAAATACCTGAGAAGTAGCTGGCAAAAAATAGAAATCAATCTGGTATCTAAATCTAATGATACTCAGAGGAGCCTTTTTTACCTTTTGTTTGATTCTACCCATGAGACTTAGACTATATTTCAATGGCAGATTACCCTCAAATGATAATAAATTAAGAGAGTCTGGCATATTGTCATCCACCAAGCAAAAGACACACAGAACTCTTGAGCTACTAAAAAACCCTACTTTACATTGGTGCAGTTTTAGTTTGGCCAAGGCAAACAATGTTTATTGGCTAAATTCTCTGGTGTCGGTGGGATCTAATGAACTAAACTGTGGACCATCTACATGTGGGGTGAGAGTCACAGCAAAAGAGGACACAAGTGGGAAGTTAGTGATGGTCAGGCATTGTGCTGCACCTCTACAATGGGGTGATTTTCAGCCAAAGGAGAAATGCTACTTCTGTGCCTAATATATTTGGGCCATAAAATTCTGGTCCTTCTAGCTTGGAAACAGTAGAATTCATGTATAAATCAAAGAGAAAAGGAGCAAGTATGCACAGAGGGATGCCACTCACAAAGGAAAAGGGGTAGGTAAGCCCCAATTCTGTACCATTCCAATCTGGGACACATACAGGAATGGATGGCCACACAAAGCAAACCCAGACCACTTCAGTCCCTTCTTCCATCATCTTGCAACAGTGCAGGTTTCTCGCTGTAGAGTCAAATGCTACCGGAAAGTCAGAACCTGAAAAGAGCATTTACTTTCAAATACTTGCGCATCTATCAAGTTGGTGAAAAGACACAAGACACTGAACAGTAGCAGGAGGGAAAAATTTTTAAAATAGTCCGTCCGTCCTCAAAACTCAGCCCCTCACTGAGCAACTTAATCAACAAAAACTTTTATTCAATGTAGCTGCCACATCAATGAAGATCATGGGTCTATAGAATGCAGGATCGACTTTACAGCCCTTGTTAAACATTGGAATTATGATATTTGTATCCCAAGTGTTCAGATAAGAGAGCCAAGAAGAGATTGGGGATGTTAAACGTATACAGACTGCAGAAGAGAAGACTCAAGGAGACATAGTGATTGTCTATCAACACATTCAAGGTGACAAACTCAATGAAGGAATTATTCAACTACAATAGCAATAATTCTCACTCTCAGAAAATGGAACAGCGAGAAGCAACGTCCTGCAGATTAAAGACTAACAGCAGAAATAGCAGGCTCATCCACATGCTATACAGTACACAAGGTTAAAGGAGCTTCCCACCCTGAACTAATCAAGTCCTGCTAATCATACTCACCCAAATCATTGGGGCTACGTCTGAGAGTAAAATGAGCAAGATTAGACCTGCACTGTCAATAGCCAATTTCCCCTTCTTATTATTCTTCCCCACCCCACTCACCCAAATGAAACTTCTAACAAAGGAAATGAAACTACACCTCTACCCCGATATAACACGAATTCAGATATAACGCGGTAAAGCAGTGCTCCGGGGGGAAGGGAGGGAACTGCGCACTCCAGCGGATCAAAGGAAGTTCGATATAACGCGGTTTCACCTATTACGCGGTAAGATTTTTTGGCTCCCGAGGACAGCGTTATATCTGGGTAGAGGTGTACCAAAAAAGAGATGTTCAAATAATGTTGACACTCTGCCTCACACCACAAAAACAAGGGGCTTTGCAGTTAAGACTTTGACTCCATAATATTAAGATTTAAAAGAGATTTTGCAATCAAGATTGCATTGCTTTCACCACATGTTAATGAGTTGCAGAATTTTTCTAGAAAAAATAAAAAGGTGGGATTTGGGGGTTTTTGGAGGGAGGCTTCCAGTCACCAAGGCCACAAATTTGCCAAGCCTCACTTGGACTGTACCATCACACAAAAATACCTATTATATTGGCATAGTCTCACTCCTGCTTTACCCTGGCTACGTTTGATTTCTACATAAGTAGTGTTTCCCCCTATTCACTAGCCCACAAACTCACATGTCCAGGAGGACCATAACTCCTTCCCAGTCTCCTTGAACTATGTGTACAGCTCACTGGGAGTATTATAGGCCCTGATCCTGCAGAGACTTGCACATATGAGTTATTTTATGCACTGTGGGTAGTCGTATTGATAGTCCTATAATCAATGGGATTAGTCAGTGAGTTTAAAATTAAAGTACATGCATAAATCTTTGAAGGATTACGGCCTCTGTTGTTATCCCCTTAGAGCAGAGTTCTTCTCTCAAATTTAGAAGAGGAAGCTAGGAGATGTGTCTAATAAATACAAAATACCAGATGAATTAAATCCAGATTTAAGGTCATCTATATGCTTAATAATGACAATACTTGGGCACTGTCCCTGCAGTCTGAACTGCAGGGGCAGACCCTTGTGCATGTATGGAGTCATATTGGTTGTAATAAGACTCTGCATGGGTGTAAGGATCAGTCTGCATATTAGTAGAGTGCAAGATTGGGTTTTAAATTAATATTTTCATAGTACTCTTCAGCTAATTAACCTTCATGGCACTCCTGGAATGATGGGGAAACTGCCAGGGGCAGTGAGTTATATGGTCCCATGGTGCCCATGCTCTAGCAAATTCAGAGCCTGGGGGCCCAGCTCCACCAATATTCGGGCCCGGGTCGCTCCCTTGGCCCCGCCTACCGCCCCCATGCACCTCCCTGGGAACATCCCTGTCTTCACCCTGGGCAGCGGGTGTCTGCCCTGATGCTCCACGCTGCGCTTCCTTGTCAGTCGCTGCTGGCTACAAAAGGGAGCAATGCCGGCAGCAGCCACTGCCTGCGGAGGGAGGAGGTGCACACATGATGGCAGCCCTTCCTTCCCACCCAGCACCCACCACAGGGGAGGCGAGGGGGCTTCCTGGACCTGAGAAGGGCCTGGCCCCTAGGAGTACGTGCCATAACGGTGCCAGATGAGTGTGCTGCTGCTGGGGAGTGCGCTGGGGGGGGCTGGGGAGTCCTCCTCTCTGGCCCCAGCCCCTGGGCAGCCTGCCTACATCCTGAACTCCTCATCCCCAGAGCCTACACCCCAGAGGTCCTCACCCCCATACCCTAACCCTCTGCCCTAGCCCTGAGCCCCCTCCTGCACTGTGAACCCCTCATCCACAACCTACCCCGCAGCCCTCACCCAGCATCCCAACCCTCTGCCCCAGCCCTGAGCCCCTCCCACACCCACAACCCTTCATCCCCAGCCCGAGCCCTCATACCCCCCACACCCCAACCTACTGCCCCAGCCCTGAGCCCCCTCTCATAGTCCAAGCCCCTCGGCCCTACCCCATTAATTCTGTTATGTGCACCAATATCAGATGTGGAGGGTGGGACTGGGACTCATTCTGGGCACCACCATAAATTATACAAACCTGCCACCCCTGAAAACTGCAACCAAAAGAAGTTAAGTGGCTTGCCTCTGGCGTAGCCTCCTTCAGCAGGGCTTCACCACAGTTTAGGGCTTATCTTCATTGCAGAAGAAATTTGAGTCCCATCCATCCATCCATCCATCCATCCAAATCCTTAATCTGAGCAGGCTGGTGCTTTTATCTTGAGTTGGCCTGCCCATCAGTGGGTATAGGCTACAGCGGGGTATAGTACAACTGTAACCCCTATTTGGGCTGAGGCTCTAGGGGGGTCCTACTCTGTGGATTACCATTTCATGCATTCTTAGAGTCCGGGGTGGGGACAGAATGGACTAAATACTCCATATGAGGCCAATAGGAAGGCTTCCTCATGGGTGACATGGCTCAGACAGATAGTGTAGATTTAGTTTTAGTTTTGATCTTGGGAACTGCAAGAGAAGCAGAACAGCTAAGGGAGTCTCTGATTAACTCCCATTCCCCACTAAAGGGGATCTTTGAACTGCTGGGGGATCTAGTGCATGGGTCAGGCAGTGCCAGCCCTGCAGAAACCAGCATCAAGAATGGCAGAGATCCAACCTCGTACCAGTTACTGAGAGCCAGCTGTGCCCTCCAGGGGA